ACTTGCAGGCAAAGACACTGCAGGCTTCACTTACTCCCACTATGTGCCCCTGCTGAATTCAGGATTAGGTCTGCAAGAGTTGGCCATGCAGAAAAAGGTGTATCCGTGTCCAAATGAAAGGAGAAACACTGGAGAGTTGGAAAGCACTGCAAGCTGAGGGCAGCAACAATTCATAGGCTTGGAAAATTATGTGGGCTTTACCTTTTACACTCCTGTTAACTCTGATTTTCATGAAGTAGGTGGTGTTGCTACAGCAACTGTCATACCACATCATTTCTGCTGTCTCTGTCACAGAGATCATCTTATTTTATCTTAAACTCAGATATGCATCTTTTCTTCTTCTATTCTAAAGCCCTCTATATTTTGGATATAAAAAAATACACAAAATAGAGCTGTGCCACATAAATGATAATTTTTAAAAATGTAGCAAAGCTTACAGAACATTTTTATTTGTTCTCCTTTCACAAATGCAAAAGGAATAAAGAAAACAGCACTGACCAGATTTATGGTGCTCCAGAGTTTCAGAAATAAATTAAGAGCTGGTCTCATGATAAAGATGCTTCATGCCACTTTTAATGTGTTCTTCCTACAGAAGCTAACCCTGTGTTCTGGTGCACTTCACCAGAAATAACTCATCTGTTCACAGGTGAAAACATCTTGCTTCCTCATGCCCAGGCCTTTTACGCAGCTACATTCCACACAATTCACACCCAGCTTAGATGCTGCTGCCCATCCACTGCACACAATATGGTGTTCAACTTGCGTACCTCACCCGCTTAATCAGCAGCCTGGAAGAAGCATCTACTGAAGCAGAAGTCTCAACCCATTTTTACCTGTTTCAGAAGGTTTGTCCTAGCTGCCAGGGACACGGTCGCCACCCGGCTTTGCAGCTCCTTTGCTCAGTAACCCAAGAACATGGCTCTACCTCCTTTGCCTCCATTTTGCTGCCTGGTTAAGTTCTTTGAGGACTCAAAGCACAAGCAAAACTCAGTAAAATCCTGATGACAGAAAGGCTCTATAAATTTTTTGTTACTAACATGCATTCCAACTCATGCCCTCACAGATCTTCCTTTAAAAAAATAATAAAGCAATGTGGAACAGTCGTGAATATTCAGTTACACCCTCAGGCTACTCAGGAAACGATAGAAAGCCCTATCTATAGTCAAAGGTTATTGCACAGACCACTCAGTCACTAGCACAGCTCAGACCACCAGCTCAAGCTCAGCAACAGCCTAGGCTGGTGCGTATTTCTATCTGCTTCTTCCTAAGCATTTCCACTATCAAAACAATCAATTTCCAGTCACTTTTCAAAACAATCGATTTCCAGTCACCAAATTACACTTCATTTCTACAGAGACAGGTCCTAGCAGATGTAACCTGTGGGTAAACACTCTTATCTGTGTACCTGGTTAAAGGCTAGGCACACAATTAAGATACCAAATGGCTTCAGTTCTTTCAATGACTTTGCAAGCTTCATTTCAGTACCCCAATACTTGACAGATATTCTTTAGCTCAATTTCCTAGAGAAATGAGTTTTGTGCAATGGTGCTCTGCATGTGTCTAGCCTCCTCACAACTTTTGAAACTGCTAGCCAACTTCAAATAAATTTGGCAGAGAGGTATGGACATGCATTACTAACAAGCTTTGTGAAAACACTGTAAATGAAAGAAACTCTTAACTCCGTGGCTGAAGGAAGGCTGCAGGAGCCTCGTTACACATCAAAGAACCCATGGAGATTTTGCTGCTCATGGAACCAATTCCTTGGGCGGGTAGTAGGAAGGAAAAAAGTAGTCACCAAGTTATTATTTATTACAGCAGTCAGGAAAGTCACTTAATCCTCTTGTTCTCTACTGGAATTGAAAATATCTTTTCACCTTATCCTACCTACTCATTTACTATTTCCAGTAATCACAAGCAAAATTATTTGACAACTGCACTGCCACTTGACAATCTCTCTGAATTCCATGCAGACACATCTGGTATTGATAGCCATTAAAACAACCATGCACATGTCCTGTCTTTAAAAATCAATGTAGATGACAATCAGATGTGGACAACCCAGCTGTCTGGTATCATCTGAGCATTTATTTATTCTTATATGTAGTGAAAACCTGAGCTCTACTAGAGCTTTTTTTATATTATCTGCAGCACTTATTATGCAAGTAATTTAAGTCTTCCAACCAAGACACAGTAGGAGTGTTTGGGAATCAACAAATTTGTTCTGGCAGCAACAAAACATTCAATATTGGGTTTGGGGTGGGGAGGGGTTTGGTTGGAAGGGGGAATTTTTTTTATTTTTAAGATTTTGTTAAAATGCAAGACAAAAAGGTAGGTGAGGGACGCTGGGTAGGACTCATAGCTAAGAATTACAGTGCTCTAGATTTATGCTGGAAACTGCATGTCTCTGCCCACTTGAGGGATACACAGTAACACACATACCAGTATTTGCAAGATCAGAGGTCCCTCTAAGCCTCTTCCTTCTTTCTCTGCTGTTATTTCAGTGTTACGAACATCTGCAGTTACTGAAGCTTGGGGAAGAACGGGTTAATCTTAGCAAAGGAAAAACAAGCAAGAGAAACACGTTTCCTCTTTCTGCTTAACTGGATAATTGGTTAGCTGGAACCTGCTTGATGAGTTTCAGCAGCTCCTAGAGATCAGGCTGTTTCTGAGAGCAGCAAAAGCTGCGACTGTGTAAACATCTTTAAGCCGACCAACAGAGTACCCCTTGCTAAGGTTGGGATTTTTTGACAGCTAAAATTTCCAGAAGGCAATGAAGCAGTCTGCATACCAAAGATCCATCCAAACCCAGTAAGAGCAGGGAACTGAACTATTTTAGGCAGAATATTTTATAGATGTTATATACATAAAACTGTCATGGTCAGGATAAATAGATATGATTTTTAAAATGTTCAAGTCAAAGAAGGAAGACTAAATAATTCTCACTGCAATGGAGAGAGCATAACAGTAAGATTCAAATGAATAAATAAAAGGTTCTGTCCTAGTAATTTAAGGGGCTAAGAAAATTCTAGTCCTGAAGGTTCATGTGACAAATCAAGGCTTCGCTGGATCTGTACAACCCTCTGGGCTTATTACCTGATACCATCTATCTATAATGCAAAGATTTTACTCAAGTAATTAGAGATTTTGAGTCCAGTTGGCTAAAAAGAAAGTACATGAGGGTTGATTTTCACACAGGGATTATCTTGTCCTATATCAGATATGTGTGCAAGCATGTGAGTTTAAAAAAAAAGACAAACCCTGGTAAAATCTTACTATAAATTCAAACCAGTCACACTCTTATAATCACCAAAGCAGCAACTATAGCCATCGATGCAAAATACTGGAAAATATTTACTTATCACTGTCCATATAAGCATCTTCATTTCTATTTATTCACCTTGATGTTTCAATCAACTAAGCACTGCAACTGATAAATGGACATTTATACATGCCGAGTTTTAACATCAAGAACCAAGCTCTCCCTTCCTGTCATCCGTCAACACCAGCCAGGACTCTCAGTGCAGGGCTCTTTCTCCCAGGTTGTCTTCTGAGGATGCAGAAGAGACTAAAAGAAGGCAACTGTATATTTATATCCTAAAGAACTATGTACAGATTTGGGGAAAAGTATTTAAGCTTTTCCAGTATTGATCTGCTCAGACACAACTCAAAATGTCTGATAAAGTTACCATAAAAACAGACTTCCAGGCTCAGTACTGTCCATATGAAACAAACCAACCAACCCCCCTCCTCCATTTCAAGAGAGATGTCCCTTCATAAAATAACAGGAACTGCTGCTCAAACATTACTGCTTGCAATCATGTTTTGTACCCCCTCCCCAAGCATTATGTCTTTTTGTACTATTTTTTCATGCACGGGTGCCCTCAGAGATGTTGGGGTTTCAAACCCAGAGCCAACTTTCCAAAACATGCTGTATTTTGAAAAAGCCCATTTTTGTTTCACACAGAAATAAATGAGTTTGCATCATAAAGTCTTTATCCCCCCAAACCCAAAGCCTCCCATACAGTTAAAAATCAAATCCAGCTTTATTTTCCTGTGTGAGTCAGGCTGCATGCAAACAGCTTCAGAGGAAAGCAAGCTTGGGGTGGAGAACAGAACTGAGGTAAGAAAACCAGAGAGGGATACTTGTTCTTCTAACAGCACACTCCTATTTTCCCAAGACATTTGCTAATATTTTCATTTTAGAACTAGAGGAAAGCCACCCCCTTCCCCCCAAAAGAAGGTTTAAAGATTATAAAGATGTACAAGGACACACTTTATTATTTTAACAATTCTTGCTATTTTCAGAGCTCCAGCACAGCTACTTCCTTCCATAATTGGACTTCAATCAAACCCTAGTGAAGCTTTTGATCTTGGAAAGAGTAACAACATAGCTCTGTTATCGGCACATAGGGGGCAAAGAGCAGGACATCCAGAATTTTTCAGTAAAAGAAAGTTAATTGCTTTGACTTATATTTATCAAAGGTCATGGCTACAAGTTCTGAGTGCACACACATAACGGTGCACACTGAGAAATCTTGTATAGACTGGCCAAAGTAAGTGTTGGGATTGTATTATCTGTGTGCATTACCAAAAAAAAAAAAAAAAAAGAAGAAAAAAGCAGCAAAACAATGCTAGATTACTATCCAAATATACCCCAGTGGATGTCCTGCCAAACAGCAAATATGTGGCTGTAAGCTCCAAACTGAAATAAAAGCTTGGCCAGAAGCCCAGAGCTTCACTGTATTTTGCTCAGCTAGCCATAGTCTGGCAGAACAGAGTGAACACATTCTCAGCCACGTGATAAAGAAGCCCGTCGGGCCAAGCTGATTTCCTTGTGTTGGTTAAATGTGATCTTCAGACTGTACACACCAGCGGCTTTGGGAAAACGTGAGAAAGTGGGAAACAAGATGCCATGGGCTATAAACTGAAGGGCAGCAGAAAAATTAGTTAAGGGGTTTGCTTAAATGCTAGTGTTGCCAGTGCTGTATTTTAACAAGGTGTTAACTGGGTTCGTAGGGCTGAGCACATTCGGCAATGGTGCTGAGCAGCGGGCATTCACCTGGATTTTGATAGCAGTTACACACCACCAGCTCCTTCAGGGATGCACACCCTGAAACGACGGGATTCAGAAAAGTGGCTCAAAAATGCAAAACACTGTATGACTTAAAATTCCATGTTCAGGAGAATTAGAGGTACTTAGGCCTCTCAGGATGTGGCCCAGTACAGAAAGGGTATGACTCTGATGTGGTGTACACCCCCTATGGGTCTGATTTTATTGACACTACTTAAATAGGCACCAAGTAGCACTACTGCACACAGAGGAACATTCACAAAGCAAGACAGAATTTGGCCAAAGGATTCAATCTGAAAAACATGCAGGGTCTCATGGGATAAAGGTTGCCCCAAAGGTAAAGTATTATATTTTGATAGCAGTGATAATAATGTTTTCAAATAACTGACTTTGGAAGAGACAAACACCATCCCTGGCCAGCATCAGAGGTGCACGTGACTCGTGAGAGCATATTACATGTGGTAGCGGAAAGAAAAGCCTCCAAACGCAAGACCTCAGAAGTACATCCCTGCTACAGATAAGAGCAACTCAGATGAAACAGTCGTGAGAGTACGTAAAAGTGAGATTTGTTTACTTTTTAACAGAAATAAAGTGATAACCTAGACACAAGCAGCAGCTGATGAAATCAGAGACACACACGAGTTGACAATTACACCTCCAGTTCTTTCCTTCTATTTGCCTAATGATTTCTTTTCACATGTTCAGAACACCTTCCAGAGTCTACCACAATTTTCAACAATGACTTCAACCATGTCTCACTGAGAAAATTGAACAGATAAGAGAGTTTGGAAAAGTGTTTCTTAAACCTGGTGATGAGTCCAGTTGAAGAGAAAGATCAGCCTGAGAGCAGCCACGTGATTATGGATGCATGAACATCAGGTCTCAGTCTGAACAATCCATGCCCTGATTTTTTAAGAGCCAAGATACCAACAGCTAAGGTGTTTCAAGTAGACACCCAAACCACAGCTATCCAACATCTGTAACCGCAGGCTTCTGGTTTAACCTCCTCAAAAGGTTGATATGCAGATTAACTTTAAATACAGTGCACTCTCCTAATTCTGTCATTTAAGTATACAGTTGACTGATGCAGGTGTTCACAAGGTCAACCTCCTGCTCCTTTTTACTCAGTTTGTGTTGCTCTCAAAAAATGGCTCAATCATCAGACTACTACCACTTCAGAAACACTCTTATCTAATGAGCAAGCCCCATTGTTTTTTGCCTGTGTGAATTAGCGTAAGGCATTGTAACAACATATGGCTAAGGAACATGACACATTTTTGATATCTCACTTATTAACCTTATCTGTTATTTATGCTCTTCTCTTCCATGAGAAGTAATAGGCATTACAGGCAGGGGAATTAATTCCTCATTTTTCAATGTATACATACTGATGCAGAGGACAGGCCTCTGGACACTTGGTGACAAAGGCCATACAACGTGACTGACCTGCTTGGATAGCTGTGGTCCCCAGAGAAGTCTGGAAATTGAGAGTGGGAATTAAACAAGGATGCCCTAAGGTATTTGTAGTTTCACTCCCCAAAGTCTGCATGCTCTTTACTGGTCTTCAGAGCAGTGATCACCCAGCTCAACAGAGCTCAGATTCTGGCCACCTTTCTTGAGCCACCTAGTTGCAGTCAGTCATTACCCACCTTCACTCTGCAGTAAGCAAAGAGAATTGGGCTACTCCATGGGGCTAGCCCAGCATATAAAATGGATACACCAAATTAAATTATCTTAGGATGCATGTACCCCATTGAGCAAATGTATACTGCTGTGAAAATTTTACTTTGACATCAATATGTCGCTGCGGTGTACTTCAAACTACAGCGAGCACAGCACTTGCATTGATTTCAGATCTGTATCTGATTTTTTACTCTTCCAAAGCTAAGCTCAAGGCAATGTCTTAGACACAGCTTAAAAAAAAAAAAGCAGAGCAAGAAAAAAAAAAAAAATTGCAACATTTCACAGTAAACTTTCTCCAACTTAATCCTGAGAAAGCAAGAAGAAACTCTTGAGTGTCTTTTCATGTAGCTTTTTTTTTTTTTTTAAAAAAAAAGACATTTCATATACTGTATGCCACTGCCAGACCAAACGGGCTTTTGGGCCTCATGTAAGTGTTACCTTCCCACAAAGGGTATCAAAATGTCTTGATGCTGTGCTGGAAACAGAACGTAGGAACGCAGAGAGGTTCTAACAAATCTCTAAATGCCCTAACAAGTATGTGCATTCAGGGGTAGAGGGGATGGGATGCTAAGGGAGCAGGGGAGTCCACACAGCAGCACGGCATTATACTGCGAGCATGTTGTGTCATTACAGCTTTATCCCGACACACCCATATTTACAGCACACAATGTACTGTACAATTCACAATGCCAAGAAACTCAACATATCTAATCTGGCAGAAAAACAAAGTCATATCAGGTTAATCCAATTCTTAAATTGCACAACTTCGAAAAGCCAATAGGAAAACAAATCTTCCCCAAGCTTGTGCTCCCCCTATTCCTCCTCCCAACACACATACCCTGTCACGACCTACTTTTCCTCTTTGATACCTCAACATTTTTAGCCCACTCTCACTCTCCCCTGTTTCTCATTCACTTCTAACCTACCTCCACCCCAGGCCCCGGTGGCAGAGTTACCCCGATGAGAACGAGCCGTGAATGGCAGCTTTGTGCGCAGCACCCTGGCCGCAATGGCTGTGAAGAATGAATGGCAAGACACATACACAAGGTCACTTGGACACCTGCCTACATGTGATACTGCAATAATTGTGATAACAGGCCTCAAATTTGAAGTTGGCTGACTGCAAGGTAGTTTCAAACAGGGCAGCGGAGCTGAGGTGCTTCTGCTGCACAAGAGGAACAGGATATAGCAAGGTTGTGTAAAGTTCAGAAAATTTTTAGGTAAAATAGTTGTGCTCGACTTTGGAGAGGATCAAGATTGTTCCTTTGCCTGGGTTCAGTGCTTTCAAGATCTTGCCTACAAATCTTACAGCTGGTTTTCTAACTTCTCTTTTTAAATGAAACCTTGGAGTCTCATATAATCACAAGACTCCAGGAGCTGAGGATTTAAAAGGAAGAATAATGGTGGAAAAAAGTTTGTGACACACACACCCAACGCACACTAAACCAATTAAATCTGGTTTCTTGCGGATTCATTTCTCAAAGTGAATTGACATCTCTTGGTGTCTAAAAGGGTGTCAGCTTTCCCAGAAGTATTTCACACAGATCAAGCACTTTAAAGGTCTTATGTAAATGCTCCGATGTAGAAAATGCACATTTACATTGCAGTTCTTCCTAGTCAGTAACATATTCCCACCCTATCCACTCATCTAGCTTCATGAAATTTTAGGAATGTAATTATTCTTTCAGAATCACAACTTTCTTGCCACATTTGGTTAAAATCAGCCAATATACTCAAAAATCATGAAGCAGGGACATGCAAGAGGCCACATGTACCTAGCATGACTGCGTATGGTTTGTCTTCATAGCAAACCAGGCAAAAAAAAAATACCCCAATGCTCACCTACCACAGTAAGCAACAGAGCTGCAAGAGTTACGTACATAAAATGGCAAAATGCCCCACACTGCAACGAAGGGCTGCAGCTGCAGGGATTACAGACGTCAGTAACATCTATATTTCCACTATGCAGCACAAAGGAAGAGGGAACAGTAGTAGATCTGATTGCTGCAGGGTCCTTCAAAGTCAGTCAGTTTAACCCTCTCTGTTTCGATGAGGAACAGGATTTGGTTTCAAGTGCTTAGTTCCTACTTACTAAGCATTAGAAGCTAAGCACACAGCTGTTTCTTAAGCAGACCTCTTGCTGGGGTAGGACTCATTTCCAAATGTTGTAACGGCAAGTTTGTAAAAAAGACTAAATTGTTTTAAGTTACCTCCTCTGTTTCAATGCAGACCTCTCACTTTGAGCTTGTGTTTTATATTCTGCACCCTTGAGTAATGTACTCTTCTACAAAAAGGTTTAGTGCTATTATTTCAGTAATCTCGCTATGCTAAAAATATTGATTGCTCCATCAAACAGAGTTCTGCAGGAGTATTTTGTGTTTACAAGTTTCACGTTATTGTTCCTTCAGTTTTTCAAAATGCAATATACAGTTTCCTTCCTTGCCTCCTCAGAATCTCAAGTTATAAGCAGTTACTAGCGGGACTGCATTTAATTTCTGTTTTCAGTGCTATCATCTGTATCATGATTGCTATGTTACCAGCTCACCTCAAATATAGCAAGGTCCACATACAACAATTGAGTGGGGAGCCTTGGAAGCATTTAAAAAAAATTTAAGATCCAATCATTGCTACACAAAGTAATGGATCTTGCTATGGACGAAGAACCCTGTTCATTCATTTGTGTATTAAATTCAGGAGTACCAACCAGTTCCGTAATGAATTACTTAATCTTTGACCTATTGTCCACAGCCATGTTCCAGAACAAAGAATTTATAGCAAGCTGAGCTCCCTAAGGCTAATTGGAAAAGAACTTTTTTAAAAAAAGAAAAAATTCTCCATCCTCAACAAATCTTTTACAAACTGTGTATTTTTGTCTATCTTCTTATATACCTACATATCTAAGCATGACACTTTGTTACAGATGAGTTATTGCTGTAGTTGACTCTAGCATCTGCTTGTAGTAAATGCATGGTAATACATTGATCTGTGGGTTCCTGTCAAGTTTTGTTTCCGTAATCATCTAGATTTGTGTTCCAGCTAATAAGGACCTGAGTTTTCTAGGACCCTAATGCAATTTGCATTTTTAATTTCCTCCTACAAACAGCCATACACCAAAACACAAGCCAAGAGCTTCAAGATCCTCAATGCCCGTTTTCATTAAATGACAAATAATATGAAGAAGAGACTACTACCAGTGAGATGAAGAGCTAAAGCAGTTTCAAAGTTGAAGAGAGAACCCTGAAGCAACAGCATGCCACATCACAGAAGCTAGGCAATGGTGCTGGATGGTGTACAATGAAAATCTGGGCCAAATTTAGCCCTGGCAAGATTTAGTTCAGAGGATGGGACAGGGAAACATAACTGTACAACAGCTTCAAGTGCGTCAGAAATGTGAGAAGTTGAACAATAACTTGTATTGGTTTAAAACTTGATGGATAGCACCTCAGTTACGCAAAGCTGAAGTACTATGAAGAGCTCTAGCAGAAAAGAAAAAAAAAAAACAACACAAAAAACCAAACAAAAGGTGACACATGCTGCCTTACCTACCTGTGTTCGCTCTCCCATTAGCTCTGAAGCTCTCAGGACCAAATTCAGCTTTGTGATAAATAGACAGCTTCTTTAATGCCATTTGTTCATTAAAAAAAAAAGGCAAGAAAAGCTACAACATCTGTCATGCATTAATTTTCACACAGTCATGCATTTTACATTCATTTTCTACACTAACTCATTATGTACAACTTATTCCATTAAATGGAGTAGATTTGAGGTTTAAGTAAATGTTTTTTTCCAGAGTTTTCATTATCTACTTAATGTAGAAAAGATGAAACCACAGTTTTTCTTACATATAACTTAGTTGAAATATTCTATTCTGATCATCAGAGTCTTCTGTGGAATTCAGACAAAATACTGAAAATATATTTCATTTGTTATGAAAGTAAGACTTCAAAAAAAAAAAAAAAGGAAACTTATGATCATGTCTGTGTGATATAAATACTAAATAGCTCCACAGTGTATTGCCAGCCATCCAAGCTTCTGATTTCATAATGCTCTGAAGTATTCTTTACCCTTAACTAGTATGTCCTTTCATTCTGAGAAAACTTCACTGGTGCACTGAGAACTGTGTCGTCGTCCCCCCCCAAAAAAAAAAAAATCCGGAAAGATGAATGGCAAGAGAGTGAATGGTGACATTTTCCTGCTCCACCTAGGAGTTGATGGAGAGCAGTCAACAAGCTGCTTGCCTGCTGAGTAGTACTAAAATCAGTAAGACCCCATGAGGAGTAAAGTACTCATTGCTGAAATTAATTGGGCAGAATCTGGCCACTGCTAGCTCCCACAGTTGCCAATGTGCTGTCATAAATGTGTGGAGAGTGAACAATTTAATGTGTTTCCTAGTAGCTTCATCTAATCAGATAATATCAATGTCTTCTTCATATACATCTCCTGATGAGGTCTTCTCTCCTAACATACTGTTTTATGAAAGACTTCAGGGTGTACTCGCTTCTTAAAATCAAATCACTGCTCTAGAGAATCATTCAATCCAACACTGTCCAACGCACTTAGAGACGGGAAGCAAGACTCCAAGAAAGACGCTGTACTTTTTCTAGGTAATTGCAACAAGTTTGACACTCAGACATCCTTGAGGTGTCTTTATAGGGGGATAAAACCCTCCTACTTACTCCCTCTGTATATCCTCTTCCTAAGACTGGACAGCCCTTACTTGCCTAAGTGGCTCTATCTGTGTGGAAAGCACTATTCCTGATGGGAACTGAAGAGTTAGGCCAGGTATATTTTAAAAGTATCACATAAACCCCAAGATGTTTCAGGCTGTTTACTGTTTGAACTCTGAATTATCTTCAAGTTCTTTCATGCAGTCAAGCAATTATTTAACCAATAATCAACATTTAACAGTGAATATTAAAATTAGATCTCTTGAAGGAGACACAGTGTTCTCGCTTCTAGCATTAACAAGGCTTGTGCGTTCAGCACTTTTTCCCCGTTATCATGTGACAGTCTATTTTTAATATTTGCCTGAATATATTTTGCATCTTCCTTTGATCCAGAAAGCAGTTTTGTGAGGCTTGCCTGCATATTGCATTTTCTTTGCCGTGGCAGTCCAGAGCGAAGCTTTTCCATTTCACTGCAATTTCGGCATCGGCTGGTAATGGCAGGAGCACACAGCCGTGTGTGCGTGCCTGCTGCTCTAGCAAAAGCCATGCTGAGCAGGCTGCACAGGGGACTGCCACGTGCCTAAAGCACATGGTCATGCAGGCAACTGCCATCCAGAGCCTCACGTGAGAGTCAATGTGAAGAGCAGCTCTCAGTACCAGCCTGCCTGACGGTTTAGCTGGTCATTTCCACGTTGTCACGTGGGAGAACAAAGGTCAGGAAATTCCCAGCTCCTCTGGGTGCTGGAGGTAGAGTCCTTCCACTCCAAGAGAGGGGGTTCACACTGAGGCTCATGCAACACCTAGTAACTGCTTGTAAACAATGATTAAAGCTTAGGAGAGGATTCCACGTACAAGCTGGCTGTTGGGAATGCTGCCCTTCACACTACAAATGCTGTAGTGGAAGAGGAGGTCATGTTAAGAAACACAGGGGAAGGAAGACTGCAATAAAGGGAGTGTTACACACACACCCTTTTGTGGGCTGCCCCCTTCACCAACTCATCCCCAGTATGCAGTTGAGAGGCTGGATCGAGCAAGAACAAACCTCTCCCAGTTGGCTGCTGTGTCTATCACAAACACGAGTTAAAAGAAAATGCCGAAAGCCACCCAATCACGCCCGCTGTCAATCATTACAGTTCAGTATCTATGTAAGAAGTAAAAGGTAATAGATACTATGCTCTGCCCGCAGTATCTGGGCTGAATAAATAAAACACTGCATTTAATAAAATGGCGGGAAGTGTAAATACACTTCAAATGGAAGCAGTTTTCAGCTTTTTGATTAAACTACCCCTAAATCATTGGGTTTTTTTTTAAACTGAAAGCAAAGACTTGCACATATGTGTATTTCCACAGCAGATTAAAGTTTTTCTTTTTTTTCTTTCCTTAAATAATCTTTGGCAGATCATGTGCAAGTAGTCTAAGGCACCCAGCCATCCAGGCAACACACACTAAAAACGACTGTCATAGGAACGCGAAGAATGAGGGAGTTTTTTCAAAGCCTCCGACAGCCCTATCCTCCTTAAGGAGCAGGGCAGTAACAAAACATGGGCTATCACGGTGTCAGCAGCATCCCAGTGACCTAGCCCCACATCGAAGGCTTTGGTGGCAAACAGAATATTCTGATCCAAACCACAAAATCCCCAAAACCTTCTAATTAGGATCTTCCATCAGACTTAGCTGATGCTTCTGAACTCTAATTCACTCTCTTCAAACCCTTTACAGTAGTTGCCCCATTCACCCAAACAAGGGCTACGTAGGGAAAAGAGCCAGATAAAAGCAACCACCAACTTGCTACCTGCAAAATATGAACCTCCCTTTACATACAAACAGCTACAAATACTCCCAATTTCCTTAAAGGACTTTGCAGTTAAATGGAGATTTACCATCACCAAAAAAAAAAAAGTAAAAGACAACACAAGGACCTCAACGGATTAAGAACCACGAAAATGTGTTTGCTTTACAAGCTAGTTTTATAAAACCTGTTTTTCTGAGGGAGACCACAGATTTCAGCCAATTACCTAGCATCCAATACAGGGAGAGAAAAGAAGTTTTAAATGCGTCTAAACATTACAATGAGTCGTGGTCTGCAATGCTAAAATAAAATCAAAATACTATTTTTTATTAACAAAATTGGTATTGTGAAAAAAATAAGTCAGACTCCAATCTTGCAACAGCCATTATCCTGTGTCCCTCCTCTTCAAAAGCAAGCCAGTATTTGCTATACGTACATTCCTCGAATAGGAATTTATGGGAAAGTAGGTGCTTGCTTTATTCTTTGCTATAGTCCAGAGAATAGATGATAAACTGGTGAGCCTAAACATTTTTCCATTGACCAGACAATCCGAGCTGGAAATACAGAATTAAGTTAAATTTATAAGCAACCTTTTTGTTGTTGTTTTTATTTTTTTACCTTTAAGAAAAGGAAAAAAAAAATCAGTGAGGGTTTTATAATGTCGTATTTACAGTCAGGGTCAGCTCAGCTTTGCTAAGCCTGATCACGCTTCTTAGTAAATGTCATTGCAGATTTCCAGATCTTTTCCAGAGATGGTATAAAATACATATTTGGGCAATACCATTAACTTCTAAATACAGCTAAGGCTGGTATTTCAACACACACACAAGATTAAATCTTCTTATGCCACTCTTCTATAGACCCTCTATGTCCAAGATACACTGTGTACATACATGAGTCACATTTGGTGTTCCACGTGCACGTGTACATCCTCCCCCGTACACAGTACATGCAAGTATGAGTTTTGACCAACTGCACGTGATACGCTGATGCTAAACGCTGCGGAGCCATTTAAAGTAGGGACATAAGCCATACAGGATTTGACCCTTCCTTCAGCCAGAGTCCACACACTCAAACAGGCTTCCATTGTAAGACAAAATTCAGAGGACACAACCACAAAATATTTTTAGAATTACTATCACCTAAAAAATTCAGTTTCCCTAAAAATAAGATCACATGGAATTAATTTTTATTGAAATTGTATACTTCATACTATTTGTTCTTGGGTTTATTACAGTAATACAAATCACAAGTCATGCATACTGGAACCGTAGCTCACACCAATTAAAAAAACCTTCCTCATGTACAGTTTAAAAATGTATTTTAAAAGTCTTAAAATATATTAACCAAAAGGCTCCATTATAGCAATTTTAACATTTACCTCCAAACTAACTTTTATATTTCAAAGCAGCACATTTGCCGGCACACTTTTGTGACAACCTTAAATGCTCAGGTTTACTTTTACTAAAAATTTGTGGGTTTAACTATAGACTGTTTTATTTTAAAACTTGCTCAACTGTTAATCTTTTCTTCAGAACAGATTGTCAAAGTAAGATTTTTTTTTTCACACAACAGCACATAAAAATTTCAACAACCTGATGGTAGACCAGACTACTGTTAATTAAGTCATAGTATCTACCTGTAATAAGGGGGAAAAAACTACTACTTTAAGAAATTGAATGAGCTCCTTTTTAAAAAAAAAGCACATTTAACAAAAAGTTATCATTATTCTTAAGGCAAGATGGCATGGGGAAAAAAATACCTGCAACTTAAAATGTTTCATCCTACCCCAAGAGACATCACTTCTTTTACAACTGTAAAAAAGTGTACAGAGTTTCCAGTGAGAAAAGTTTGAAACCCTGAGCTGCAAACAGCCGAGGAAAAACGTCAAAAAAATCAGTAAGTTGAAAAGTCAGGCAGACAGCTGATTACAAATAAATTTTGACAGGTGATCGTTAAAAGCCTGGCTCATTACCAGGTTCCTCTGAGAAAAAGAACGAGGACAGATTATCTGCTTTTAATTTTATGTGTGCATATGCGACAGAAAATGGTGTAGCATATATGCACTATTTTTAAAAACTGGCTCAGAAAAAGCCAGGGTTTTTTGTATTCCACTCTTGCCAACTCCAAATATATTTCAACTTTGGAAACCCTTATAAGTTATTAGTTAACTATGAAATGCCTTGAAACTCAAATACAAAACAAAGTCAAATCCACATAAAGTAAAAGCAAGTAAATGAAATCCACGACTTACACACTTCTGCCTTGGGGTCAAAAAGTCTGTTGACAGATTTGGGGTATTTTGGGGGGTGCTTTATTTCTTTTTAATGAGAAAGGAATGTTGCAGACTTGTAAGACTTTTCTATTTCATCCTGCTCCACAACTTTTGTCCTTCTATTTATTTATTTTGCCTCCTTATCAGATGATTTTGACAATGACTTCGCACGCTGAGCATGGCAAATGATCAAGCAGAAGGGAGAGGAGTGGTTTCCTGCTCTCAAGAGCACACTTTGCTCTAGCAAACCTTGTGTGAGCAGAAGAGCACAGTAAATAAGTCACCCTTGGTCTTTTTTTTTTTTTAAATAAAAAAAGGAAAGCTCCATGTTTTCCCAACTTCAATGTTGACACTATTCCACTGACCATGACCTCAGCCATGCTGGTGTCAAGCCAGAGCAGTTATTATGAATCAATACTAGTGTCTCTGAAGAGATGATTTCAAGTGCTAATAAATTAATAGAATACTTCCACTGATATCAAACAGGTTTGAACTATGCATTACAATCAGAACTTGGACTCCACGATGTTTTCTTTGCCTACAGCTTAAGGCAAATATAGATGTAATTTATGAACTCAGGTCAGAGTTTCACTCAGCTTATGCTAATTTAAGCAAAATTATAATGCAGTTCAAAAATTTAGCTCCTGCCACAGGTAGTGTGGCAAATTTTACTTTGCTCAATAGAGAATAAGATTATGGCCAAAATTTCAAACAGGAAGCACTGTCTTTAAGTTTTAACTTCAAAATAATTACCCAATCCTGTGTTCTCACATCAAATATTAGCCAAAGCAATATTCGCTTTCATGGTCCTTCTCCCTGTTCATTTAACACCATGGCATCTATGCATTACTATTCCGCTTGTGGGTTTTTTTACTTAATAGCTAGGCTACCAACAAAGAAAAGATAGGCAAGTTTCCTTGGAATTTCCACAGCTTCCTTACATAACTTAAAGAAAAATGCTGGTGGAGCAACTTAGCAATAACTAGAGTTATTTTTATTTTTTGGAGTGTGAGTGACTTGAATCATATCGTCCCTCTCTAAGCTGCCTGTCAATCAGACAGGAAGAAGTAATGATTTACACTGGGGAGGAGGGCTCATGCCAGAATCCACAGGAAGTTCTTAGGGCTGATTTACCTGGTCTGACTGGGCTCTGCATGCAGTTCTGCGACACCATGCCTGGATGGACTGAAGTAGAAGCCCTGCTGCTGAGGTCCATGACAGAAGGTGATGCTGAGGTAGCTTGCTGGAGACCTGACTGGTGTGGGCTATGCTCGTGCTGGTTTGGGCTCGGTGGAATGCCATTTTCTGAGAGGAATTCTTCCAGGTCCATGTATTCCAACTGGAAAGTGTCTCCATCGTATGGCAGTGTCTTGTCCCATAATGTTGGGCCCAAGAAAGCTGACTGAGGGACTGTGGTACTGGTGCTGTCATCATCTAACTTCTTCTCTTTGTCTTTTTCTTTACCGAATGCTTAAACAAAACACATAATGAAGATATAAGAGCTGAGCAATTAAAATTTCAGCTACTATGACTTCACTTATTTCTGCACTTTCAGTTTAAGAAATGAATGCTCCCTTCATAAAAATAACACCTTTGATGCAATCCAGTTGGTAGAGAATCGAAGGATCACACCAACTGCGCACCTTTGCTGTATCCAACCATGGTTTTGAGATTTCCCTCTATTTTTAGTTAACAATTCCACCGCAATCATGGCTTTGAATGCCAGGTTCAATACATACTCAACAGACTTAAAAGTGTGGATTTAAGTGGAAGCAAACTGGAAGATGTTACATTCTGTTGAGAACAATCTTAACCTAATGTCCCCGTAATTTATTATCCTCTCATAAATTAAAGTCCCAATCACGTCCTTACACAAGGAGAGCAGTCCTCAAATTCAGTACTCCTTAACATTGTACGCTAGTAACTTACAACAACAGTGAAGTCTGACAGAATATGTATTTTGATATGCGGAAGAGCTAATGAAAAATTTGAAGGCAGAAGCGAAGCAAAAAAAGAAGTTAAAACGATGCTTCCTACTCCTTCCTACAATATCCAGTGATTTCAACACATGTTTTTTGAAGGGCAACACCCAGTTTCTCTAGAAGACTTGCAAGAATCTGAACTGATAAAGCTTTCTGTCAACTACCATGCCTTCTTAACATTTTCTTTTTAACTACACGCAACAACCCTGGTGAAATCCTGCGAGTTGCTTCGCAATGAAATGCTGAGGACAGAAAAAGCCTTGGCTCTGCAAGACCTTTCACAGGGTTTTCTTTTTAACGTGCAGTTGATTCATTAGGAATAAAAGGTGCAATTACATCCGCACTAACTTAGCCTTCCAGAAAAGTTGCAACTTTCTGCTGTTAAACCGCCTTGCAGTTACATGGGGCCAGGTTTCAGGGAGGGTGGTTTTTACACGGCGGGCAGGACGGAACAGCTGGCCGCCCC